TTATGAGAGAGGCAGTTTAAGAAGCTATTAAATAGGAGTCAAGTTCAGATGTAGAAACAAATTGAGAAGAGCAGGGACATGCGGGATGGATGTTTGTGGCTCCCAGAGCAAGTTACTGGTACTGTAGGAAAGCTTACTTTTAACAAGTTAAAAGGGATCTCATGTTAATATTTGTTGTCTTGAATTCAAAAGAGTGTGTGGATGTCTGAATGTCAGTGGGAACCTGGTATCTGGGTTACTGATAGCTCTCTTGCTAATATAGCAAATGTTGCTGGAAATAATTCTCATGTAGCCATAGCTGTAGGCAAGCTTGAGGTTTAATCTACTTTGCAGACATGGAACCTTCTCTGAATGTTAGTTGCTAAAAGTAAAATGATGCAGTTGATAGGTGTTGGCTTTTTGAGGTTACTTTTTATACTCTGCCTCTCACTCTTGAAGTGTAGAGGCTTCACTTATGATTTTCTATATTTAATGTATTTCCAGAGAAGTATATGGTTGAGTATTTGACTTTATTTTTGTTTTTAGTTCCTGTACATGAGGAGCCAATGGATATTTAAGTGAGAAATACTACAGATTAAATATATAGTAAAAGGAAAACCTGCTTGAGTGAGTACAGTGTGTACGTCTTTTAGTCTGAACTGAACTGCAAGAATGAGCTAGCTTTCTTTGCCGAGTTCAGAAGCTCACCAAGGATGAATGCGCATAATATTAAGAAACCGAGTGTTGCAGTTTCCTGATGACAAAAGCTGTAGTTTTAGAAAGCCCTGTGAATGATTGTGAATTTTTGGGGGAAAGGGCTGCAAGAGCTATGTTCATATACTATTTCAAGGGTACATGGTTTAGATTATCATTACCCACCATGTCTTTTATTTTTCTTGATTCCTCCACTAAACAGCAGATGGAGAGAGTCTGCCTTGTTTCTTGTTTTGTTACAGACCCAGTATATTATTAAGAATTGATTACAGTATTAGGCTATTTTTGCAATTTAATGATTCTGTAGAGACTAGATGGTGCTAGAATATACAGTCAGGTAAAAGCTGTATAAAACTTTTATTCTGAAGAAGGTACTTTATTTTAAGAAAATTAACCAAATGCTTCAGTATTTTTCATGTTTCACATTTCAGATACCCTTTTTCAAAAATTAATGTTAGTGAGATATTAAGATTAGTGACAAAGTGAGTAAATCTTTAATAAAATCAGATGATCTAAACTGTTGTTTGGGTATGTATGGTACAGTTAACTGCAGATGTATGAAGCTGAAATAACTGATAAAATAAGGTGGAAGGATCGTAGGATGGAAATATTTCAGCAGTGAGGAGAATGTGTGCATCACCTCCATTTTACTTTCAGTGAAGCTTTGTAATTGTAGAAAGTCATCATTAATTTTCAAAAGTCTCACTGGAATTAAAACTGGAAGGAACAGAAGTGGAGTTTTGATGGAACAACAAAACCAGTCCTAAGAGAAGAGACAGATAACCTTATTCTGTTAGAATTATTTTAAGTCGGGACCGCAGCCATGGTAGTTGCCTGTTACTACTTGCTTGAATGAAGCTCTCCTTTTAAGTAGTCAAGGCTAGCTGCGATAAGGATAAAACTAAATAAATGTTTTAGTAAAGTCATGAGCTAAGTTCTATCCTTATGTCGGTGTTAAGTCCTTCAGCTGTGAGACCAAATCTATTTCTATGTTTAGATGAAAGTCTAGGAATGCCCATTAGCGTAAATAGTAAAACCTCCATTAATTTGCATAAGGTTGCAAATTCTTCTAAATCCTTCACTGGATTTAAAAATAAATAATATAGATTAAAACTAGATGCTTCTTAGTTCAGTTACCTCAGTGTAACACCTTTGTGTGCAGTGGTTTTCTGCTTGCGTTATAGGGTTTCTGGCTGCCACGGGTGATTTGTCTGTTATCATTCTGTTACTGAAACACTGACCATTTTAATGCTAATCGTGTGAACAACTAAATATGCCTGTGGAAGTTGCCATGTCCCTTTTATAATGGGGACTTGTCCTCCTCCAGAGTTTTTCTGAGGGTCTGCACTCTGCTTACTTCCTAAGCTATGGAGAGGTGAGGAGCAAGTGCTTAGTTTTAATTGGTAAGCATATAGGAAATACTTTCATGAACGCAAATGATTTTAACCATGGAAATGCTTTTGCAAAACCAGTTCCGTTGTTGGTCTCAGAGCATGTGCATGTTGTATTTTTATTAATCAGATTGCGTGCATGATGTCGTCATGTTCAATTAAAAAAAAATCTCTTGTGTTTCACCAAAAAAAAAAAAACTTTTTAATTGTGACACACTATTTCCAGGTAACATTTGGACAATTTTACTGTGCTCAGAGAGACTCTGCAAGTAGGACGTAGAGTGCAAAACAGTTTTTTATTGGTTAAGAGACACAAGAGAGAGCTAAGACTGGTAAACCACCAAACTGTAGTGTTAAGTGTTAATATTCTCACCATTCCCCATATGTTTTTGGTTAAATGGTCCTCAATCAGATGGGGAAGGGTTGGCTTCCATTTCTTCTCCATAGTGGGCTGCTCTTTGATGATACAGAGTTACTTGCTTCCAGTTCTCCGTTTTTTCCCCATAGCGATTTATACATTTTTATGTCGGTATTCTTCCTCTCAAATTCTTGAGCTACTAAGTGTTACCATCTCAATGATTACAGTTCTGTGTTTTGACTTTTTTCTTTTCTTTTTTAAATCAAAAAGTTCAAAAGGAGATTAGACAGTTTCCATGAATGCCATGTCCTTAAGTGGATACAAGGTAGAGATTTGCTTTCTAACATTCGTCGTACACAACTCTGGGTGCTGGGGAAGTATGAGAAGAGTGGACCATAGGAAGTGACGAAGCTTGCATGCCTTCCCTAAATAGTCTGACCAAGATGAACGTGCTGGGCTGGAATGACTGTTGGTCTGATCTAGTAGGGTATTTCTTATGTTAAGAAAGGGTAGGGTATTTCTTATGTTATCTTATGTTATGTTATTAAACCAGCACGCAGATATTCTGAGTTGGTTAACTTTTGTGTCTTCTGTCTGCTGTGGTTCTACTTAGTCTGAAATCCGGAAAACATTAGTGGCTAGCAGCAAGGTATTTTGCCTTCCAGGAGCATGCCCTAACCACCAGCCTCTACAGCTATACTGTGTATTCAATATATTTTGTTCCTAGCTCAGTGAATATAGGTGTTTTATGCTGGGTGGAATAGAATGAACAGAAGATACTGAGAATGATCCATTTCAGAGCACTTCCTGACAGCTGCACCTGAGGCTGTGGGAATGAGAGGTGTGAGCTATATACTTGCACAGATGCAGCATCATCAGATGGCATATACATGACAATCCAAGCTGCAGAAGGGCCGCAGCCCCTTTGCTGACTAGGAGACATCTGGGTTTCTGAAGCCCTCCTTACTGATTCATTGGACAGGAGAAGAACCACTTACACTTACCACTTACACGCAATTTTGGGAGGCTTACATTTGTTTTCCTTAGTTTTTGTTACAAGTGTCTAAAAACTAAAAGTGTAAAAATATGACTACATAATTTGCATTGACATTTCTAGAGTTCTGTTATGAAATGATTTAAGTAGAAGGAAAAGTATAATTCTGGTCAGTCTGATCCCAAGTTTTTGTTTTCTTTGTCTTTTGACTTTGAATTAAAATTGAAAAAAAAGTTCTTTACATAAACGATCACCTGATTATCTGCAGCTGAATAGACGGGAACTTAGGGCTGCAACTAGTGTAGCTTACAATAAAGCAATAAACTAGGCACTTGTATAACCTTTACTGAGAATGGCAAAAACCTAAATTACGTCTAACCTTAATTCTTTAATTACCATTAATGTTGTTTTTGCCTGCAAGTGAAATAAGGATATCTATTATGCTATAAACAATTCAGATCCATTTCTGTACAACCTGCTATCGAAATCCTAAATGTGTTGTGTTGTATTAAATTAATTCTAGGTTCACTAGAAGGTGACAATATATCTCTTTAGCCTGCATGGTCACAGTACCTTATTAATTTATCATACAGCAGCAATGGGTGTAATAAGTCCTGCTTAAAAAGGACAGGTATCTGTTATTTGTGTGCTTGAAATCTTTACTGGCTATAAAGGCTTTGCTGAGCTATGTTTTATGGGAAATTAAGTTCCTGGGAAATTTAAAATGTCTTTTATTTTGGGGCAATAATTAGTTGCGTTTCTACTAAACTGCAGATACAGTACTGTGCTAACACTTCACACACATATCACCATGGCAGCCAAAGGCTTGAATCAGAGGCTAGTGAGTTCAGGGAAAACCCTTAAATTAACATCAGTGGACTCTGAATCAAGCTTCTAATAAATAATTTATTCACTTTAAAGACCTTATTTAGCTTTAATTCCTTCTTACTGATTTTAGTAAAAGGTTTTCTTGACTTAATCTATCTTGACACTTAGAAAATATTTGCTATTGCTGGGTGTAAGTAAACTAAATGTTTCAGTTTCTCCTGCCATTAATTGCCAGGACTTTGAAGAGTTGCTGTATGTATTTTTGTTCTTAAAAATCTTCATTATGACCACTGTCATTTAACATATTGTTTAAGTTAGTGGTATAGTGTATATAGCAATAATATATATATATTTTTATGATCAATTCAATAACACAGTATATAAATTTTGGTTAAAAGCTCATTATTATTACTCTTGACTGCTAGACAAGGTATATGCTTAGGCCTTCTAATACAATTTTTTGATTTAAAAGAAAGTAAATTAGAAATCTAGAAGAGAAAACAAAGAATTATACATATTTTAAGTCTATAGTTGTACAGTTTATGCAAGTAGGTGTGTGATTTTTTTTCACAGTTTAGAAACAAGGAATCACATTTGTTTTATCCCTTAAAATTCTAAGCCTGCCATTGAACCATGTCTCTTCCCCGATAAGTGATCTTGGGGCACTGACAGAGTGCAGTCAGACTTGCTATCATGGTGGGTGATTGCTTATTCTAGTTTTCTGTTTTGTACCTAGGTGAAATGTCAACAGAGGTGCCAAACATTAAACTGAAAATTGATCCTCAGGATCTGCAGATCCAGACGTTTACCGTGGAGAAACTACTGGAACCATTGATAATTCAGGTATTTCAGTAGTGCAGAAAATAAGTTGGATGTCTGTGGAGGAAAGGGAATAAGGGTGAAGAGCTTTGGCTAAGGACACTATTGTGAAAGGTATACCCATGGCTCTTCTGTACCTATGGATACTCTGGCTCAGGAACTGTCCAGGGGGAATGCTTTACCAGTTTGGTAATTCATTTAGTCACTTCCATTTTTACAAATGCTGCCACACAGTATTGTAACAAGTGCAGCATGTTCTAGCTAGTTTCTTTGTGCAGTATTATCCACTGGATGTACAAATGTAGAATGGACTGCAAAGGGAGTTCCAACGCATGAAGTGTTTCATATTGTAAGTAGTGAACAGAGTGTAATGGCTTGAAATCTCTTCAGTGAATTTATCTGAATCATGAAAGCAAATATCTTCTATATATTTTAGAAGAGATGCCCAAAGATCATATAATTATTGCATACTGTAAAAACTTTATTTGAGTACTTTTCCTTCAAACTAAACAAAATTTGGACTTTGGGATTAACAGCATTGCTATCAGATTTGTTGATGAAACTTTCTTTTCAAGATAGCAGTTTTACTGCATATTCAAGTTTTATTTCAAATATCCACCAGTTGAATATGCAGTGCTTAATGAGAGCATCTCTAACACGCTATGTCTATATTATGCATGGGCTAGAAATGTCTTTTTCAATACAGTGGAAAGGACTTAGCTGCAAAAGACCTGAACTGTTTTTGCATGTATTGTGTATAACTAGAAGAGTATAAGAAGAGTCTGTAGGAATATGTTATAGGAGAAAGGATAGAAAGGACATCTTTCATTTTGAATCTTAAGCTATTTTGAACTTCATTCTCATTTAGTGCAAAGATGTTGGGGCACCTGCTTTTAATCAGTCAATTACATGTAGCACAAGGATGCCAGCCTATCGCTATCTTTTATCTTTGCCAAGGTGTTGCAGATCAAACTCCTTGTCACAGCTGTACACTGCTTATGTAGTATTCTTTCCCTGGTGCCTGCAGGTATGTTTATGTGGCAGTCACTGCTCTGACTGCAGTTTGTGTAGGTAAGTCAAAGGTGACTTCAAACTAGCTGGCTTGACTATTGCTAGCAGTAGAGATGTATATCCCAGAGCTCAGGAGATGTTATAAAGCCTGTCCAAGAAGCTGGACTGAGGCTGCTGCTCTTGCCATGCTGTTAACGTGTTTAAAGTTTGCTTCAGTGTGGATCCGTGGGTTGGGATCTTGAAGCTGGGGAAACACCATTTAATATGGTATCTAATTAAAGTGCTGTGAATCACTTACTTGAAAACTCTTACCTCTTTCAAGTGGTAATATTAATATTAATATAATATTATATTATTTAGTGATAATAAAGGGATGCAGAGCCCAACTTCTGTCATCAGATACTCAAAAATGATGAGGAAAAACCATTTTCTCATGGTTATTGAGAGTTTTTCCATTAACAGGTTTTGCATCAAATTTTGGGCTACATCTATAACGTTCCTGTAATAGGTATCTACATGAGCTACTGTCTGAGCAATGACCGCTTTGTAAACGTACCTTCAGGCCACAGCAAAAGAGTAATAGATGTAATCCCCTGCCAGCAGTGCAGAACGGCTTGCATCCTTGCAGCTTATTGCATAGCACTTGAAGTGGTTCTTCACTTGTAACTTATCGCAGAATCAAATGATAGTTAAGGTTGGAAGGGACCCCTGGAGATTGTCTAGTCCAACAGCCCTACTCAAAGCAGCGTCACCTATAGTGGGCTGCTCAGGACATAATCCATTCCGGTTTTGAATATCTCCAAAGGTGGAGACTCCACAGCCTCTCTGAGCAACCTGTTCCAGTGCTTGACCGCGTTCATCGTAAAAAAAAGTTATGCCTCAGGCTGTTGTCCCCCCTGAACTATAGAGCTCTGTAGCATGCCGTGTATACCACACACAGTACTTGTCTGCTCCATGCTGACCAGGCTAATTCTCATTGTGGGCCTTAAAATAGGTCACTTTTAGTCATATTCTTACGTTTTGAGTGACATAGCTTGGCCCACCTCGGTGCAAAGCCTTTCTGCCATGAAAGTGGCCAGGGAGAGTCTTGCAACTGTGAGTCCCCAAGCTCTGGAATGGCTTGAGGCATGCTTTCTCAAGGATTTAGATTTCCTGTGGGCCCCAAGTAGACCCTCACTGGGCCTGGGCCATTTATTTATTTATTTATTTATTTTCCCCAAGATTCTTTAAGAGTAGTATTTAATTTTTATGTATCCAATATAATGAGAAGACTTCATCACAGCCTGCAGTATTTATACTTTCACAGCAGTACTCTGTTGGAGTGTACTATATGCATTCAGATGTAAGAGTGCAAGACCTCCTGGGATAGTGCAGGAAGACTAGACTGGGCAGAGGGAGCAAGACCTGGTGTGGTGCTGTTTGTAGTCCTTTTGGAGCAACCCTTGGATCACTCTCCAGGGCTTTTTCTGGGAGAAGGGGTTTTGTTCCATGCCAGGTGGGATTCTGGGAGCAATTGTGGGGAGGCTTCAGGGATCAGTGGTCTGTAGTGAGCGTGGACAACAGGCAGTGCTGTTTAGTCAAGCTTTAGTATTTGAAGAGATTTAAGGATGATGAATTTGAGAGCATAATTATTTAAAGTGTGAGCTATTTTCAGTACCTTAAAGGATCCAATTCTTTGTCTTTCTGTAAAGATGCTGTAATACTAATAGGAGCAGAAGCAACCTGCTGAATTCTCTAATGTGTTTCCCATACGGTGTGACTTCTGTTGAAGTATTTCTGTGACACATAGAATTGCAACAGGAGGAGGGGAAGCCTAGAAAGTGGATCATAAAAGGTGGTACACAATACCAATATGTAATTTTCTTTCTAGATAACTGTACACTTATTTCCTTTTCAGGCAGTTGCCCTTAAGTAATTATCTGAGGGAGTATGATTACAAGGTGGCCTTCTGAGAGACCAAAATAAACAACAGTAATGTAAATAGTTGCATAAAAATTGAATTCTGAATTTCACTTTCAAATTAACTTTATCTTTAAAAGTTAAATGTTGCAGTTCTGCTGGGGCATACAATAAAAACCATAATTGCTAGTGGTTGTCATTGGTTTCAGTTTGTTCCATTGTATGGTTTCCATCGTTTTTATGTTATATATGTAAATATACTGCTGCTTCTGAATTAATACCACATGTAACAGACTCAAAATTACAGTTTAATATTTGTGGCAGTTGATAATAAGTCTTACTCTGTCAGTCTGACTTCTGGATATATGTGTTCATAAATCTTTAACCTCTCCATTTTATGATTTTTTTACTCTTTATCTTTAGCCTTGATTTATTTTTAATCTCAAACTTCTCCAAAGCATAGGTAACTCAGAAGCTTGTTTTATAGGAACGTCCAGCCCTTGATACATTTCAGTCTACCACTTCTTTTAACAGGAAAAGATCAGTTTCATATTGCACCTATCTGCAATAAATTGTGTCAGTAGATACTTTTTCTTCCGTGTTGTTACACACAATATAGCGCATATGCACTGCGTTATTTTAAACTGCTACTTGGCAATATAATGAGAAAATTTTGTGATTTCTTGAAGAGCGCCTGCTTTGCTGTTTCTCTTTGTTTTCTCTGTGAAGTCAGTCCACTATGCTTACTCCACCCTGACTCGTGTTTATGTTTTCGTTCATTTTCACGTGAGGAGGTAGCTGATGATGAGTTGACTTTTCTTTTTTGCTTAATTTACTAATATGAAAAAGTGTGACTTCACATTCAGATTTTTTCCCCATTGATTAATGTACAAAGAACACTTATATAATTTTTCAGATTGTAAAGATTGTTTCAATGGTTCGTTGATTAAGATTTTTCCAAGCCCATTGAATAATGCCTATTACAAGAAAATAACTTTTTGTGAAGTAACATATTAATAATCAACAATCAAAATTGTTACTGGGAGAATGCCTGTGGGTAAATAGAGCAAAGCCAGATTGAATACTGTTGTCTGACTGTTACTCTACTTATACATATGTGCGAACTGGAGCTGTACATTCCCTTTAAGAAAGATAATGGCATATTCACCAAGTTTTCTATAATTTTTCAAATTGAAAATTCAAGTGTTCCAATTTTTAAATTTTAAAGTTAAGAGATGCTACATAAATAAAACCATCATTTGTATTAAGACTGAAACTATTATTGTTGTATTTAAACAGACATTAAAAGAAAAATATTTTTTTTCTCTCCCAACTCATTAATTGGCTTCATTTGACTGCACGTGGCCACTTACATTTACGGTGAATTTCATTATTCCAGGAATACCCTTCTTTTCACATGCACTGCTGTGATGATACCTTTCCTGCTGTGTCCTGGGAGCCAGTACTTTGCATGCTGGTTCCCTGGACTTGCCAAAGAGTAGTCACCAAATAGAGAGGCACAGTCAGATTATAATTAAGGAAGCAGTACTTAATAATGAGGTTGGAGGGAAGAAGAATACCGAGATAAAAGATGCAAACAAGAAAATATCAAGTGTGTTTGGTGTTATGGTTCTCAGGTTTATTTGCACTCTCATGTAGAAAAAGTCCTTTATTCTAGAACTGCTATATATCCTAACATCTAATAAAAATGAAGAGGTGCTGATAATGCTTTATAACAGCTATTCTAGGAAGAATCACTTTTTAAAATCAATCAATTCATCAAAATAATTGTTTCTCTTCAACAGAGTTACATTTTCCCCATTTAAACTTTTGCCTCTCCTTAGCTCACTCATCTACTCTTTTTATTCACTTTTCTTAATTATCTTTCAAATTTGTGAGCCGTCTCTCACTCATTTTGTTTGCCTTACTTCAACTTTTTATTTTTATGATTGACGGTGTGTAAAATCTGAGTCACAGCTCAGTAGTTTGTTTGCAGTCGTCAAGCTGGAGCATCTTATGTGGATGGATTATGAAATTAATCTCAGAGTGGTAGGCCTAGGTGTCTTTGACAGACTGCATTTGAAAGCCTTCTATTGTATAATGCCAGTAGGTCA